CTCCTCTCCCCGCGCCGGGACCCTTGGTTTTCCGGGGAGCCCAGCAGGTGCACGCGGGATGGTCGCCTTCTGCCCGGGAGGGGCTGGGGACAGGGTCAGGCATGACCCCAGACGACCGGGAAGCCACCGAGAGGCCGGGTGCCAGCGCGTGGTGGGGCCGGTCCCTCACTGCAGTCTTGGAGGGCTTCCTGGTGCCCAGGGAGCAGCTGGGCCTGGAGCCCTGAGACCCCAGCCTCGCCCTCCCCTGTGAACCAGGGAGGAAAGGGCACTGGTGGGGGCACAGCTAGGAGCTGGGGGGCTGTGGAGAAGAACCCCCCACTCCGGGGGAGGAGGTGAATAAAGCCAGACCCAGACCTTCAGGCCGGAAGGACGGTGAAGGCTGGCGCCTGGCAGCTTGCTCTGGTGTGGGGCCATCCTCTCCAGTGACTTGACGGGTCCTGGCTTGGGCCCTGTTCCCCTGTTTAAGTGGGGCGGAGCTGGGCCTTGTCGGTGGCTCAGCCTGTAATCCCAGCACTTTGGGAGACCGAGGTGAGTGGATTGCCTGAGCCTGAGGGTTCGAGACCCACCTGGGCAACTTGACGAGACCTCATCTCTACAATAAATCAGAAACTCAGCCTGGCGTGGTAGCGCGCGCCTGTAGTTCCAGCTCCTTGGAAGGCTGAGGCGGAAGGATCGCCAGAGCCCAGCAGGTCGAGGCTGCGGTGGCCGGGAGCAGCCATTGCACTCCAGTCTGGGTGACAGAGTGAGACTGCAACTCAAAAAAAAAAAAAAAGTGGGGCTGAGCCGCGGAGGGCACTGAAGGCAGGAGGGGTGTCCAGGGAGAACCGGGTGTGTGGAGGCGCCCCGGGAGGGCTGTCATAAGGCGACGATCCAGAAGGCCCCAGCCAGGCAGGCCTTGGGTCACCTTGAGGGCCTGGAGTGTAGCCAGAGGGGGTGACATGTCCCTGGAGGTTGACAGTGGGCAGTGGAAGAGGGACGCTGTCACCCTCGGTGTTCACATCCGATATTCTTCCGTCCGACTTCTGCCCTGGCTCCTCCGTCCATTGCTGGAGACAGGTATGGCTCCCGGCTGAGCTGGGTGCAGAGAGTTCAAGGGCGCTGGAGGGGAAGGAGGAGGTGGGTGCAACCCACACTCAGGGGCCAGAATCTCCCTCAGTGTTGACCTTGTTCCCAGGAGTAAATGCTGAGACCTGGAATGGACACAGGCCTGGGAGACCAAACACTAAGACCACACGGTAGCTTTTTACAGAAATCAAGATGAAATTCACAGAACACAAAATTAATCATTTAAAAGTGTATAGTCCATGGTGGGGTGGCTCGAGCCTGTAATCCCAGCGCTTTGAGAGGCCAAGGCGAGAGGATTGCCTGTGCTCACGGGTTCGAGAGTAGCCTAGGCAACAGAACAAGACCTCGTCTCTACAAAAAATTTTTACGGTTAGCCAGGAGTGGCGGCATGCGCCTGTAGTCCCAACTATTTGGGAAGGTGGAAGGATCGTCTGAGCTCGAGAAGTCAAGGCCGCAAGGAGCCGTGATGCTGCCACTGCACTCCAGCCTGGGCAACAGAGTGAGACCCTGACTCAAATGTAAGAAGTCTACAATCCAGTGATGTTTAGTACATTAAAATGTGCAAACTGGGCGTGGTGGCTCACGCCTATAATCCCAGCCCTTTGAGAGGCTGAGGTGAGAGGATTGCCTGAGCCCATGGGTTTGAGACCAGCCTGGGCAACTTGGCGAGACCTCACCTCTACCATAAATCAAAAGACTAGTCGGGCGTGGTGGCCTGTGCCTGTCCTTCCAGCTATTTGGAAGGCTGAGGCGGAAGGGTCACCTGAGCCCAGCAGGTCCAGGCTGCAGTGGCCGTGAATGTGCCCCTGCCCTCCAGCCTAGGCAATAGAGTGAGACTCCAACTCAAAAAATAAATTAAAAAAAAAAAAGTGCAACTGCCTCCTCTATCCGGATTGCAAAATGTTTTTACCTCCCCCAAGGAAGTCTCCCGGCCGGTCATGCCCATACTGGTCTCGCCCTCTTCCCAGGTCATGGTGAAAACTAATCTCCATTTGTCTCTTGGATTTGCCTGTGTGGATATTTCCTGTAAACAGAGTCACGCATACATGGCCTTTAGCAAATGGCTTCTTTCCCTGGGCATGACTGTTGGAAGTCCATCCATATTGTCATGCGTATCAGTCCTTTGTGCCTTTTTACTGTTGAGTCATATTTTGCTGTGCACACCTGCATCTACTACCTTGTGTTTATCCTTTATCTATCGATGGGTATATGGGATGGCCATGGTGGCCACCTTTTGGCTCTCATGAGTAGAGCTGCCCTGAGCATTCTTGGACAAGGTGGGTCTGAGCGCCTGTCTTTCGTCCTCTGAGGTCTGTATCCAGGACGTGCAACTGCTGGGACACATGGCCATTCCATGTTTCACTCTTTGAAGACCTGCCTGGCTGTTTTCCGCCGCAGCTGTGCCGTTTTGCATTCCTACATCATCGCCAACATGTGTTACTTTCTGGTTTTGTATTTGTGTCTGCCCCAGTGAGTGGGAAGTGGTGTTTCATTGTGGCTTTGATTTGTATTTCTTTCTCTTTCTTTCTTTTTTGTTGTCGTTGTTGTTTTTGAGTAGGAGTCTCACTCAGCCTTCTGAGTAGCTGGAACCACAGGTGTGTGCCACCATGCCCAGCTAATTTATTTATTACTTATTTGTTTGAATTGGAGTCCCATTCTGCAGCCCAGGCTAGAGTGCAGTGACATGCTCACAGTCACCACAGCCTCGACCTCCTGGGCTCAGGTGATCTTTCCACCACAGCCTTCCAAGTAGCTGGGACTACAGGTGTGCACCATCATGCCCGGCTAATGTTTTGATTTATTGTAGAGACGAGGTCTCGTTATGTTGCCCAGGCTAGTTTTGAATCCGTGGGATCAGGCCATCGTCTCTTCTCGGGCTCCCAAAATGCTGGGATGACAGGCATGAGCCACCATACCTGCCTGATTTGCATTTCCCTAATGACTAATGATGTTAAGCGTCTATTCGTTACTGATTGGCCATTTGTATTTCTTCTTTGTATGTCTAAACAACAAAATATCTGTTGTTTAGGCTGGGTGTGGTGGCTTACCAGCATTTTGGGAGGCTCAGGCAGGAGGATCACTTGAGGCCAGGAATTTGAGACCAGCCTGCATAACATAGTGAGATGCCTTCTCTATTAAAGTAAATGAAATAAAAATTAAAAATAAATATTTGTTGTTTAGAAAACACAACCTACCTCCTTCTGTGCACTCTCTCATGGGGGCCACAGCATTGCAAAGGGAGTGACTTTCTCTCTGAATGATGAAACGTTGGCCGGATGTGGTGACTCATAACTGTAATCCCAGCACTTTGGGAGGCCGAGCCTGGAAGACTGTTGAGCACAGGAGTTCAAGACCAGCCTGGGCAATATATCTCTACAAATTAAAAAATTACTTGGATGTGGTGGTGCTTGCCTGTAGTCCCAGCTACTTGGGAGGCTGAAGCAGGAAGATCATTTACGACTAGGAGTTCAAAGCTGTGGTGAGCTGTGATCCTCCCACTAGGCTCCAGCCTGGGCGACAGAGTGAGATTCAGACTAAAAAGAATAATAAGCCGGGCTCGGTAGCTCAGCCTGTAATCCCTC